GCAGATCAATACCATTGGGCTTCGCGCCTGGAAGCAGGTGAGTGGTGCCGGAACGGCATCCTTGTGCCTTTCTAAAATAGTCCAGTGCACAACAGAGCCATTCGTTGATTTTGTGGCTCGGATGCAAGATGCCGCCGATAAGATCTTTTCCGATAGGGAAGTGGCTCAACCGCTGGTTAGGCAGTTGATTTTCGAACAATGCACAAAGGAATGTAAGGCAGCAATAGCCCCACATAAGAATAAGGACCTTAACGCCTGGATCAGAATATGCAGAGAAATAGGGGGGCCACTTTCCCATTCAGGAGTTGCGGCCCTCCTAGCCGCGGCAGTACAACAAAAGGGCCCTCGAGGGCCGAGGAAAGAGCGCAAGGCCAAGGGGTGCTTCAGCTGTGGGGACCCAGGGCATATCAAACGCGACTGCCCGAATAACACAAGCGCCAGGCCTCGCCCCAAAAACGAGGGATCGTATGGCGTCTGCGGGAGATGCAGAAAGGGCCCATATAAGGCAGAGGATTGCAGATCAGTCTATGATGCTCAAGGAAATCGTATTTGTGGTCGAGGACAGGATAGCACAGCTCCTGCTGCTCCCCAGCCTCCATAAGAGGTTCCAGTACTCCACATGACTCTTGACAAGAGGCCCATGCTTTTGCTTAAGATCAATGGCAGACAATTAGGTATCCCATACAATCCTCAAGGTCAAGGAATTATTGAGAGAGCTCACAAAAGCCTCAAAGAAGTTTTATATAAACAAAAAGGGGGGGTAAGCCAAGGCCTACCCCCAAAGGCACGGTTATCCATGGCATTGTTCACATACAATTTTTTAAATCTAAACAATGCTGATTGCTCCCCAGCTATGGAGCATTGTAATCCATCTCCTAACAATAAAGGATGGGTTAAATGGAAAGATGTCCTAACAGGACAATGGATGGGCCCGGATCCGGTGGTTAGCTGGAACCGAGGCGCGGTTTGTGTTTTCCCACAGGAACCGGGACGAGAACCACTGTGGGTACCGGAGAGACTGACACGGGCAACAAAGCCCTCGACTGAAGATCAGACCTGCCCTACCGGAGATCCATCACAGACCAACCAACAAGATGAATAGAAATAGCGGTAGCCCAAAATGGACAAAAAGATCCTCAGGCATATGCATGGCTCGCTCGCCTAGCCTACGACCGAGTCTAGGGGCGGTGAGCTTCCCACACTCCTCCTCTAAAAAATTATGACATAGCTGGGTAGGAGAGTCAATGACGGGTAAGAGCGTACTCCCCCGGTGCGACTCAACCTAAGCCAGGCCCTACCCCATCCTGCACGTAAGCCGCTGGACTGTTAGATGCTGCCCAGGTCTAAATTTCTCTCCGAGGGGATTTCTTTACGGAGAAGAAATGAGTGCAAGCTTGTGTGCATCCAGGTTCCGTCCAGTTTGTGCCTGGCCCTAGAAAAAGGACGAGGGCCTCAGGGCCTTGGCAGACCATGGGACGGCCGACCAGGGTCTAAGCCAAGGACCTACGGTGGGCCTACGCATAGGGCATAAGCCTCTGCACCCAGTCCAGGAAGGGCTACGATGCGCACATTCATAAAAAATAAAAAAGGGGGAGATGTTGGGAGCCGCAGCCCCGAGCCCGGTCGCCTTACTTGGCGGACGTGAGGCCTGTAGGAAAGAGCAAAGCCTGAGCTAGATTACCCCTCCCATCGAGTGTGCTAAGATGGCGCTTATCTCCTGCTTCCTGCTTGGTAAACAACCCGCCCTGTAAGATCTCCTGCTTCCTGCTTGGTAAACAACCCGCCCTGTAAGATCTCCTGCTTCACAACCCGCCCTGTAAGATAGTCTGCCTAGCAACAACTGATGTTAGCCAATCAGCCCGCATCGCGCGCTTTGAACTGATTGGCCACTGTACCCCTATAAAAGTGAGTGCCTCTCCCGCCATGAAAGAAGAAGCAGAAGAAGCACGCAAGGAGCCGCGGAGAGCGGACCGGTAGAGGCTTTGGGACAGACTGTAGGGAGAAGCACGCAAGGAGCCGCGGGGAGCGGACCAACAGAGGCTTCGGCCGGGAGGATTCCCGGGGCAGGCTGTACGGAGAAGGAAAGTAAAAGAAAAGGTTGTCCACTGCCAGACTTTGTTGTGTGTCCTTCCTGCCGGCCGGGAGTGACACCGACAGAAAAGTACCACCATAAAGACCAAGATGATACTAAACAGGGCCTCCCCAAGCCATGGTCATGGAGGAAAACGTAAGTTCCATTCCATTCTATTCCATTTCTTAGCCTTCTTGAAAGTGTGTCCCCTGGGTTGTTAGGGTGCTAATGTTAAAGTAGGGTTCCGTGGCCAGCAAGTTTGGAAAACGTAAGTTAAATAAAATTGAACAAGTTTTGTTGCTATAGATCTTCATGGAGAGTTGAATAAGCCGCTGTGCACTGGAACTTTGTAACATGAGAATAAATGGTGCATCATCTTTGACCCTTTTGGCTGAGGGCTGTTCCAAGGGATTAGAAACCATACTCATGTACACCAGGAAACACTGCCCAGTCTTGTCTAATGAGCAATAGTCCATGTGGAAGATCACGTTGGAAAACTGATGGGGAAAATTTGGGTAACCCTCAGCCTCAGCTGTTAAGCATCCTCTAAGCCAGTGGTGGCAAATCTATGGCACCCGTGCCGCAGCAGATCCTCTTTGTTGGCTCGCGTGCCCCAGCAGCCAAGCATCAGATAACAGAACACACATGCAGGGCGTGCGCATTCTTGGAAAGCAGCAGCAGTGCCAGGCGATAAGTAAGTGGGCTTGGGGTTGCAGTTTGGGCACTGGGTCCCCAAAGAGTTCACCGTCACTGCTCTAAGCTATTATTGTGCTCTGCATGCCATCGTCACAGCAGCCCTCGGCCCCCAGTGCCTCTGATCCACACCCACATAGACACCTAGCACACAGCTGATCACAGCATCCCATGCTTCAGAATCCCCAGTGGTGCCATTTTGCCCACACCAATCCCCTGCCTATGTGCCGTTCATGACTGCCTACAGCAGGTGTTTCCAAGCTCATCTGTGGTCCTGCTCGGCTCTCCAGACTCATCCCTGGATAACAGCAGGTTGGTGAGTCTGTCTCTTTACCTAGAATGCAAGCTCCTAAAAACATGAATCTCTGGTATCTAGCAAACAGCACCTGGCATTGATAAACACCTGCAGTGCACACATGTCGGGTCTTTCCAAGCACGGTGATGTTCTCCCTGCCCAGAATGTCCTGGGGCCTGCAACATCTGGGTGAAATCAAGGTGAGCTCAAGGGCTAGTTTGGCTCTGCCTCTTCTGTGATGTCTTCCCAATCTCCAAGCAAAGCAAGTGCTCTTTCCTTGGGGTCCTTAGTGCGCTCTGCACATGCTCCTAAGTAGACAGAGTGCACTGTTCTGTGCAGGGTTGGCAACTCCTCTGCCAGGTTTCAAGCCTTCCAGGGAAAGGCACGTCGCCTGGCACTCTTTCTGCATGTATTTGCTGAGTGCCCGCCTCCTGCCAAACACTACTGCAGACACTGAGGACATATCGATGAATGGGCCAGGTAAGTGGAGCATACAGACAAAAACCAAGTAAACTGACAACTACTTACAGTAATTTCAAGCTGAGGGAAGTCTGCAGAGACCAAAGTTCTAGTAGGAAGGAGCCTACTTGAGGCAGCTTGGTCAGGTAACATGGCATTTCTCTGCTGCTCAGAGTTCTCAGAGGAGATTGACATAGTCACATCAAGGGTAGTGGGAAAAGCATTCTGAGCAGCAGGAATAACATGTGCAAAACCTCTGAGCTCACAGATGTATGGTCTCGGCACAGAACTCATTAAATAGACCAGTCTGACTAGAAGTCAGAAGTGACCTTCAGGAAGACATATGTCCTCTTTGGGCCTCAGACTCACCACCTGCAAATAATACAGTTCCCACATCATGGAGTTATTTTAAGAATGCCTCAGTATCAGAAGTTGTTGATTATAATGCAAGTAAAACAGAATTTTAAGAAAAAAGGGAGTGACTTAAGTCAGACAAATACAAAATGGTAGTGAGAAGAGAGGTCTGCAGCTGTTGAGTGTACATATACCAGCACAGTGGGCATTGTACTTCCCTATATACAAGGGCAGAAACAGTTCAAGGCTTCTTGGAAGATTCTTAATCACATCTCTCCTTCCTTCCAAGACTAATGTGTTCTTTGGGATCTCTTCATGCCTTGAAAAACAGTTATTAAAGCATTTGTTTGCTGACTGCTTCCCATGTGAACCTCCAAGCTTCTCCAAGACAAAGCCTTATCCATCTTTGCCTCCCCCAGAGCCTAGTACAGGGCCTGGCTCGTGGCCGGTATTCAACAAAGGTTAGCTCAAGTGGATTAAGAATTCAATTTTAAAGTGTCTAAATTCTTGTCCATGTCTCCATGATACCAGCATAATTTGCTTCATTGATTTTTGTTCACTGGGTTGGCCTGTTAACTAGTGGTGGAAAACTGGCCTTTGTCTTGCAACTTGGAGCTATTTAGCACACATAAAACACCTTCTCAGACTGAAACTCTCACACAAAAGGGATTTACGGCCTCTGCCCTATGTGGCTCTTTAGCGGGTGACGAGTGTACAAAAACTTGCTGTTTTTATATCCAAATGCACGCCATGAACATGAGAGTTTAGAGGAGACATTTTTAAAAAATAGATGGCATGGATATAAAATGGGAAAATAGTGCTGTTTGAATCAGGCAGGCCTGGGCTTCAAACAGCTCTCCCTCACGATCCCTGAGTAATGGGGAACCCATTCCTCATTGGGGGAATCAGTGGGAATCAGTTTCCTCACCAGTAAGCAGATGGCAATCATAACTCGTCCTGAGAGAAATATTGCATCCCACCCCTGGCCTATGAGAAATGGGGCAAGCTCCATTCTGCAGAATGAAAACAGGCAAACATTACAACAAGGTGCAAAATCCAAAACCAAGCTTGGCAGGCAGCCTTCAGGATCCGAACACTATGTATCTGATCTGATCTGAACACTGTGTATGAACTGCAGCAGTTTCTGGGAACAGGACAAATATTAGGTCACAGGACAAGTAAAACATTTGAAGAATTTTTAAAAGCCAATCGATACATACTTAAGAGAGTGCAGGCTGCCTGAGATAAGGTCACTGCAAAAAAAAAAACTGTTCCATTAAAAACATATGTTTACTAAAAGGAGTGTCCTTAATGGGGCTTGGGAGAAGTCAGAGAGCACCGATTAGTGGGATGGTGCAGATAAGCATTGCAGTTGGAGGCCGAGGTCTGAGGGCATCAGTTGCCAGCTCTACCAAAAACCAAACAAGAAGCCAAACAACAAGCCCAACAAACTGGCTTCTGAGCAGGTGCGAATCCTTCCCATGCCGACCGCTGCCAACTGTCTGCAATGCCAAGGTGGAGCTGTGCCCCTTAACAGTTTATTTCCCCTTCACCTTCTGCTTTGCAGTAAGTAGGTTACGCCACAGCTCCTCTCATAGCTGACGAAGACCCTGGCAGACCCAGGCTTATCCCCGCCCCCACCCAGTGTTAGAAGACCACCCCAGCCCCGAACCCCTCCCAGCGTTCTCGGTAACCTGGATCCATGGGTTCAGCTGTGCCAGGGTAATTCTGGGATGCCCCAAGGCCCTCCCTGCTGCTCCCACCCACAGACAGTTGTCCTACGTGCTTCTACACAATTAGTCGGCGCAATGGGGTCCTCACACAAGGAGGAGGGGCTGCCCCCGGATCCCATTATTATCATTATCACTGTCATTAGAGCAGCACTGGACCATAAAGAAGTGTCACCGCACAGACTCAAGCCTGGGAGCTGCACAAGGCTGAAGAGGAGGAGGAATCACAATGGCTGACTTAGAACCATCATCTGTCTCTTAGACATTGGCGTAGCCTTTGAAGGAGGACATCTCCAAGCTGGCTGTGCGGTCCGCTGCCCAGTGAGTCCCTCGGACACCCTTCTGGCCTTGTTTAAGATTGTGCCCTCCCCTGCCTGCACCAGCACTCCCATCCCCTTTCTTGGTTTTGTTATTCTTTTTCGTAGCTCTGATCACTAATTGAACATACCATTTCATTTTCAATTTTTTATACTATCCGTGTTTCTCCATGTAGGGGTTGAACAGAGTTCCCCAAATTAACCTCACCCCCAATCTCTGAATGTCTTCTTAGTTAGAAATAGAGTCTTGGCAAACACAGCTGGTTCTAGATCTCAAGATGAAACCATCCTAGACTTAAAAGTCAGCGATGACTGGTGTCTGTCTAGGAGAAAGGAAAGAGGGACAGGAAGACAGAAGGAGAGAGAGAAACAGAGAGACCGCATGATCCACACACATGCAGGGAAGGAGGTCATGTGAGACTGAGGCAGAGATGGAGTAATTCTGCCACAAGCCAAGAAACACCAGGAGCCAGCAGAAGCTGGGACAAGTGAGGACGGGGTCATTCCCCAGAGGCGTCAAAAGGAAGACTCTGCTGACTTGTGGCCTCCAGCCCCATGCAAGACAAATCTGTGTCGTTTCAAGCCACCGGTTTTGTGACAATTTGTTAGGGCAGTCTCAGGAAACTAAAACACCCAGTCACCACAGGAGAAGACCTCAAAACAGCCACAGGAGCTGCTTGAAAATCTTCCAGCTGTCACCGTAGAAGAAGCATGTAGAAGAGAATGTGGGGCAAATATTAAACTTTCGAAATTAAATGGGAGGGGCATCCAGGTTCCTCATAGCTAGCACGCCTGGGCTCTATCGACGGAGGGCAGAACACAGTAGGATGGGACTCTAACAGGTGAGGCCTATTTTGCATGGCCCATTTCCTGGAGAGGACCCAGCCCTGAGTCCAGCATGTGACTGAGACCAAAGCAAGCAGAGTTCCACAACTGGAAAGGTGGAGAAGCATGCGACATTTGGAAAAATGGCCACGAAGTAGATGACTCGGGAAGAGAGGTGAGTTAACTCAGTCTCTACAAAATGTCCCAGACAAAAGTGGCCCTGTGACGCCAGGGGTGGGATCAGTAGTTCCGATGTTAGATTAAGGCAGCAGCCATATGGATAATCTTTCAGACACAAATCTTTTAAAGACTTCTTTTGTTAACAGCGCTTTGTGAGTTGCCAGCATAAACCAATAAAGTCTAAACAGAGCCCCTCACATCCGGGTCCCGCCAGACCCTCAGCCCTCCCTTCCTTCCTGGTGGAGCCTCTGCCCTAACAACAGAGTCCTGCTGCCACTTCCTGAACGGATCTCTCACTGTGCCTGAAATGCCTCCACCACTCTGGAGAAAGTCGGCTCAGGCTTCTAGGCTCAGTGTAAGGCTACCTCTCCTAAAGCCTTTCCTATTAATGACCCCCTCCTTGGTGCCCACCATTGCTAACCCCAGCTCAGCACTTACTAAGAACCAGGCTCTGTGCCTCGGAATTCACACCCTTTATCTGATTTAAGCTTCTTGGTAACACGCTAGGGTGGGCACTATCATTAATCCTGCTTTAAAGAACAGGAGATGGGGTTCAGAGAAGAGAGATTTACAGGGCACACAGAAGCCTGGATTCCACTCCAACTAGGCTCAGGATCTTTACTCCGCTGCCAGGGTAGGAGTCAACGCCCTGAGTAGGTTCTCCTACAACAAGTTATGTCTCCCACCTCCTGCATGGTAAATGACACCTCAGTCTACCTGGCTTGGTCACCCCAGCCAGGCGCCTGTAACTCCTTCCCCTGTAACCTCAATGTCAATGTCCTCGCACTGCTGCTGAGACAGATACCTCACCCACTGCCAGCTCTGAGACTTGGCTCTGGCATCTCTCAGGGTCCCCCACCCCACTGACATGGGTGCCATCCTTCACCCTCCAACCTAGTGCCTAGTCCATGCCTGGGGCACTGGAGGAATGCAGTGGATATTTGAGTAGCACTTCTTTATTTCCTTTGTGAGGTTTTAGATCAAGGAAGAAAGAACACATCTTGCAGAAAAACAGCGGCCACCTTGTTATTTTATTTTTCATCTTATGGCCTATTTTTAGTGTGTCAGACTCAAGAGGGAATCCAATTAATCACCGAGTCCTGTCGGTGCTATCTTCCGAGTAGCTCTCAAATCCCCTCACTTCCTCCCACCATCCCGTCATTCTGATTCAGCCCCCAGTCTCCTACTGGTCTACAATGGCCCGAGAACTGATCTGCCAGTGTCCAGTGGCTTCTCTTCAGACAGCCCTGGGACCCAGGGTGCTTGTTCTGAAACACAGTTCATCTGCTCAACCCTTCTAACCCAAGCCCCGCAGTGGCTCTCTCAGGTCCTTCCAACAAGGCCTAAGTTCTTTAACATGGACCACAAGAACCTTCCTCATCTACCCTGGTAACCATGCCCCTCATCTCCTGACACCCCCCACCCCATGTCCTGTGTGCTTGTCCATTCTGAGCACTGGGCCACACTCTCCCACAGTTGCTAGCCTTTCTTATCCTGTCCTCTTGGCCAGCTTTTTTTTTCTTTTTCTCTTTTTATCAGTACGGGGGATCGAACTCACGACCACCTGCTTGCAAGGCAGGTGCTTATGCCACTGAGCTAAATCCCCAGCTCCCCTCCCAGACCCCCCCACCAGCCTCCTTTAAATCTAGCTAAGATCTGCCCATAGGTCAGGTTCAGCTTAGACCTCCCTTCTTTAAGGGAGTGTTCCCCAGCCTTTTCCATTTAGGTTAAATGTTCATTATGTGCCCCATGAAATCCACACTTTCTGTACGCTAGCCCTTATTACCCTCTAATTCATTCACCTCCTTTGCTTACTGGAGCACTGTTTCCTCAACCCCCTTGCCTATAATTACACAGCCATATTGCCCTTTGTTGTAACATTTAGTCACCAAGTATATTTCCCTACCCACTGATGCTGGGCATGGCCATGTGGCCTGCCTTCGCTATGGAGTATTGCAAACATGCCGTGAGCAGAGGCTTTGCGTGTGTTGCAAAGCTTAGCTTGGTGTCTTGTGCTTTGAGAAAGAGTCTGTACAGAATGGCAGCATGTGGAAGAGACCTGAACTCAACTTGCAGCTTGACACAGAACCCCACAGTTGAAAGATGGACCTCTGACCAAGAAAAGCAAATAAAAATGTTTTTATTTTGCATATTACTGAGGCAAAAAAATCTCACTAGTACACTTTATCTCTGTATCCTTCACTAGATGGCAAGGTCCATGTAGACAAGAAAGAACTGCATCTCTAGCCCTGAGCACTGGGTGAGCACATCACAGGTACCTGATAAACACTGTGATTGGATGTATGAATGAATGAATATTGGCCACCAACAGGCCCGCCTTCCTACTTAGCACATGATTCTCTTGAAGCCAAGAATGGCATCTGATTTCTCTCGGCACCTAAGCTATCTCAATTCCCACATGGGACTCTTGGTATGTATTCAACAAATATTTGTTGAAATTAAATAAGTTGAATTTTGTGGGCTGGCATGGGGCTCAATCTTTAATTTATGACATTGTTTCTACGGGAAAATGCATTCCATGTGCCAAATAAACTTGCAAATGAACTTTTGGAACCTCAGCCGTTCATTGGTTTGGGATTGCCAGTTTTGTGGAAATCCATAACTGAACACATGTGCTACGCTTTGCAATATGGGAGAAACTGAGAAACTGCTTCCAAACCCAAGATATTCAGCCTGCAAAAATTCACTTTCCGCCCACACACATGAATTCAGCACAGGTTGGATTTGAGGTTCCCACAATAAAATACTAGACTTTTTAGAGCTCATTGTTTATCTAATTGCTTTTTATCTGCCTATATTAGATGCCTATTCTTAACACTCGATCAAAAGAAAGTTAAGATAGTTTTCTTGCCCCCTCGCCCCGACTCTACTCTCTAGACATGCATACAAGAAAGTTCAACCTTCTCAACAGAGAAAATAAATTATTTTTTCTAAATAAATCTGTGACATTTAAAATAAACACAGTGGGATGCTCTACAGTTGTAGGAAAACATCCCCCTTTAGAATTCCTAATTTTGAATGGTACTGGGAGCTTAACATGAGTCACAGATCTGAGACTAAGATGCGTTTCATCTTAGGCCAGAACCAAACCAGTTTGAAATCGTATAATTGGACATGGCAGAGCAGGGCCAGCCCTCCCTGGCTCCAAAGCGCTTTTTCATCTTAAGGGACAAGTGTCAGCTAGCTGATGGTGCAGTCTACCCACCACTTGGTCACTCCTTAACATAGATGTTTTGGGCACCTTCTATTTGAAAATAGAGGGAGAAGGAGAGAAATACACTCCACTAAAGGAGAGGCAGAGAAATAAGATCAGAATGGGCCACCAGGAAAGAAAGCAGTAACGCATTGAGGTTGATGAGGACTAGTCGGTCAGGTGGAGATAGATGTGTGTTCTAGGACCAGACAGTCGAAGAAGAGATCTATGGGAAGAATATTCTGGAATGAGGAAAGAGCAGGGGCAAAAACCGTGGGGCAGGAACACATTTTGCATATTCTCAAATCGGAAAGAAAGTCAGAGTGGTCACCAGAGTGACCAGAGTGGTGAGGACAGAGACAGGGGCGGGTCAGGGAAGCGGTGAAGGGTAAGGTCACCTCAAGTCTCGCCTGGAGCTGGGCTGAGAACTAGGATGGAGAGCGGCAGCGGTCAGGAGGCTGTGGAGGGGCAGGAACTGCTTTGGGTTTTAAACTGCTGCTCTTCTTGACGAGGACTAAGGCAGGCGTAAGGGAGCAAAAGCTGATGCAGGGCAAGCAAGCAGCAGGCTTCCACAGAGGCTGGAATCCTCAGCCAGCGATCAGGAGCAGGCAGAGGTGCTCAGATTCTCACCTGGATCTCACGGGCAGCAGCGCTCCCCTGAGGCCCGAGCTCCGCTGCCCTTCTGGAGGGCGGGCTGCTTCCTCGAGCTCCACAGCTGTCCCGCCGAGTGTCTACTGCCTCTCCTGGCGGATCTTCTGTCCCCACCACACACCACCTTCAGAGCTTGTGCTATCCACTGTGCCACCTCTTCACGCTGGGATTTCTAAGAGACCAGGCCTGCCCGAGGCACTTCCCTTCATTTTTTGACTATTTAGCTCCTCAATCTCTCCAACACTCATTCTGGGGGTTCACTCATTCTCATTCAGGGTGATCGAAATTTCCATGCAGCTGCACAATCCACTGAATATTCTGGCCACCACCTCAGTTCCTGACCCTTCTCTGCCAGTGATCTTGTCTCCCCACACGCCCCCTACTTCAGAGACACAATCATCCTCTAGATTTCATCATCATCAACAACCCCCACTGCTCTGTGACTGCAACTGTCGCCAACACTCTCCAGGCCTCCAACATCAACCCCCCTCCCCACTCACCTGCTTCCCTCCCTAGTGCCCAGCCCAGGCGTATTAGGTACTTTTCTCTCTTTGCTGAGACAAAACACCCGACAGCCAAAATGAAAGGGGGAAAGGTTTATTTAGCTTACAGTTTGTAGAGATTTCAGCCCATAATCAGCTGGCTCCAAGACCGGATGGCTTGGCAGAGAGGAATCAGAGTAGAACCAGTTCACGGCACCCAGAAGGTAGTGATGTAAGCAAGGGACCTTGCCAGTGTCTTTCTGCCTCCTTTCTTTGTATCCAGGCTGCTCAGGGTGGGCAGCACTCACAGCCTTGATCCTAATGCCCTTGAGCCTAGCATTGCGCCATGAGTCAATTCTAGCGTCACACCCTCTGGATCCAGCCACCTCTGAAAAAAGCCCTGCCTTTGACTACATGAGGCTTCGGGGACACACAAGCCATCACACCAGGGATCTACATCAACATTAGCATCCATCCCTTGCATGCACCCACAGGTTCCTAGCCTCTCTTGGTGTATTCACCCCAACTCTGGCTTGACTCCCCTCTGCTGTGTGACTTCACCACAAGAGCCGCAGTAGCTTGAAGAAGGCAAAACCATGCTACTTGCTCTGCTCTGCAGGCAGGACCACCAACCTCAAGTGGGCCCTAAAGTTGCCTGGCAACCATGCTATGTTTCTCTGCTCTGTTCTCTGCCCCATCTCCTATTTCTCTCCTGCCCTCTCTTCTCTCCAGTGCCTCCTCCCAGCTCTCCCTGCTCTAAAGTCAGTGAAGCTGATGGAAACGGTAGGAAAAGATGCTGCTTCTTCACCTACCTGCGCTGCGCCCAGATTTTCCCTACCCCCTGTCACGAGGATGAGCTGTCCGGGCTCCTATTTGTGGCTGGCCCATTAGGTCATCTGCTGAAAGATAACACTCCACAGCTCCCTCTTCTCTCTCCTGCAACATCATCTGCTCCCTCTCTACTGGAATTCTGCCAACAGCACAGAAATGCAGATTATTTTGTGGATCTCACAAAACTCAAACTCTCTGAACTCCACTTTCTTCTTCAGCATCTGCTCCATTTTTTTTTTTTTTCTGCTGCTCTTCTCAATAAAGCTCCTAGAAGGAGTTACCCTTGCTCAGTGGCTTCCTCTTTTTCCATGGTCTTTTGCAGCTTCAGCACTGACCTCTGGCCGTCACCAGTCATCACGAGCTAAGTCCAGTGGGTCAACTGTCCTTTTGACCTCTCCGCAGTAGCTGGCACCGTGGGTGGCTCCTGTCTCTTTTCCTCTGGCGTGCAGGACACCCCCCACCCCCCAGCTTTTCCCTCTTCCTCTTCTGGATGACCCCTCCCTATTTCTTTTTCTCCCTGACCCCTAAACACTGCAGTACCTCCATGCTCAGCTTTCGAACTGCTCAATTCATATTCCCTCCCTGGTCTGATCCCGAGGCTTCTGTAAGTATTATCTGAATACAGCTAACTCCCAAATTCCCATCACCAGATTGGATGTCTCCCATCAACTCTAGATCTGAGCTTGCTGACACAGTAGCGACGAGCTGTATGTGGTCATTTAATCACCACCCTCGTAACCCCCCTCACCGAATGAACTCCTGCACGCGGCTGGCCAAATAGACACAGAGAAGCGACACCCATCAGAAAGATTATGGCAAGGCTGCTTGGTGGCAGTGCTGTGATAAGATACTGGCTGTAATCAGTCAATTTCTAAAACTCGAGTCTTGGGCAAGCGACAAGAAAAAAAGATCCCTACCCAATTACAATTATTCATGAGAATTTTCCTGGGCTTCCCTCTTTTGTCTGCCAGTGGGGAAACAGCCCGGTACAAAGGTGAAGCACAAGGGAAGGGCCGTTGCTTGTCTTGCGGAAGCTGAGCGTGTGACTTCCTCCACGAACTCTTAATTAATCCCATCTCCATATTTCTAGTTTGTTTCCTGAACCTCTTTCTTCTATAATCCGCACCTCCCTCCTTCCTTTTCTCCTGGCTTCCTCCTGCATAAGCCGCCCGGATCCCTCCCCAGGCCTGTTTTCTTGGCCCCACTGCCCCCTCACTCAGCCTTTAGCATTTCTCTATTCCTTCTCTTCTATCTTACCCTTTTTCACCTTTAAGACCTGAGAGCACCAAACTGACAGACACAGTTTGGTGGGGTTTTTTTCCCTTCCTCTCTTGCCTGCCTGAGCTGAAGCTAAGGCTCTCTCCTCCTTGCTTCTATAGCAAGAACCCGAGTACTGGGTTGCCATGGCAACAGCGAATCCAAGCAGGCTGGTCCCAGCCACGATGCTAAGAACTGCCATGGTGAGGAAGCCGCTACAAGTCGCCCCTGAGCCTAGATGGGTCCTGTACATCGTAATTCAAGACCAGGCTGGGCAGATTCTGCCCAGAGACCGTGATGGTACATCAGGCCCACGGCTGTACGGCGCACAAGGTGACAATGCCATCAATAATAAGGCTTCCATGGAGCGAACAGAATACATGACTCGAGGAGGATTCATTTGAAAATTTTCAAACATCCCCATTCTTTTATCTTCTCCCAGGGAGAACCTTTTGCCTTTCTCTCAAGTCTTGGGGAACTCTGTAGAAAGTAAAAGCAAATCTGCCTGCTCTACCCTTTCCCCTTTGATGTCCCATGCCCACTCCCATCGGGCCCCCAATGGGGTGGCCCTGAGTGGCCCCGGCCAAGTGACTTGGTAACACGGACCCAGCTGGAAACACCCTGGGGGATGAATGAGGGTTCCCTCACAATATTGCAGTCCTGAGAGAGATCTCCCCTAGTCCCTCCTCCCCCTTCACCAAGACGGATCTTTAAAGTAGGGCAACAAGTGTTCTGGTGCATGACACTTTCTCGAAAAACATAAGTTAGGAGAATTCAGGAAATACCTTCGCTGCAAGTGGCACCAGCCACAGTGAGGGTCTGCCGCTGTTAAGCACTCCAAGCAGGATTTGTGTTTACTGCAGTTCGCAACACGAATTCTCCTCACCTAAAAATAAGGACCACAGTGGTTCAGATGGAATTATAAGCAACAGCAGAGAAAATGACACCACCTTATCTGATGAAGGGCCACAAGGAGGAAATTTATCAACTTGAACTCTAAATGTCTCCACAATGGCTCGGGCGGCAGGTCTCAAGTTCTAGAAGAGGAAGTGGTTGTGTGACAATCACCCGGGGAGCTTTTGAAAACTGGCCCTTCCTATGCACAGCATTCTGCACCCGGCAAGCTAGGCAGGTCAAAAGTATCCGAAAAAAGTCATATCTGTACATGTCCAGAACATTTTTCCTCCTCATTATTCCCCAAACAATACAACTATATACACAGCATGGACACTGTGAGGGATGACTGTATTCCCAGACTCCTCTGTAGCTGAGATGCTTGTCAAGTCTGGGGTGAGGCCTAGGAATCTGCATTGTTAAGAGTTCTCTTTGGTGAGCCTGACCTGAAG